TTTTTTCATTTAAGGACACATGGGCACTCCCAATTAAATTACTTAATATTTATTAAGATGTGAGGACACTTTAGTTTTGGACATTTTTCTTAGACTTTTACTTTTTTGTTTTGTTTTGTTTTTTTGTGTCTGGCCAGTAAGGGGATCTGAACCCTTTACCTTGGTGTTATCAACACTGTGCTCAAATTGAGCTAACTAGCCATCCCTTGTCTTAGACTTCTGGATGAGATAATTTTACTATTACTTTTTGTGTAACTAAAGCAGAAAGCTGGTGTGCTGCTTACAGGCAGGGATACTTGTATATGTACAGATGACATAACTCTTCACATGTTTGAATTTAGGAATAATATATTATTTATTTAACATATTATTATTAAAATTTATTTTTAGCCAACTCATCCACAAATACTGTTACAAGACCCAATCCTGATTCCTTATGAAAGTAATAATTGATCACTAAAGTTCTCAATTACATTATTTAACATATTATTATTAAAATTTATTTTTAGCCAACTCATCCACAAATACTGTTACAACACCCAATCCTGATTCCTTATGAAAGTAATAATTGATCACTAAAGTTCTCAATTACGTATTTGTTCACTTGAACAAATCACACTTTGCTAAATTGCAAAGGAATTTGGATGGTAGGGATCCCATGAGCAAAAGTGAATTTTCTTTCAGTAATAAAATTACTTTATCTTAAAGATACTCCTCAAAACTAAGCAAAAATAAAGAGGAATCCTTAAAAAGAGGTTTCATTGGTTAAGTTGTGACACAAATGCCTTACATATTTTAATCATATGTTGGTATTTTGTACTTGCTTCCAAAAATGGTTCCATCCTCTATTCATGTACTCCCAGATTATGAATTGGTAGAGTCAGAGTCAGAGTAGAACAGAAACTGGATTGATTATATGAGGAGAGAGGAGTTCTGTTTCCAGCTATGTCACTTTCTCATCAACTGTTTTTTTGTTTTGTTTTCTGGTGGCTGGTACAGGGATCTAACCCTGGACCTTGGTGTTATCAGCATCATGCTTTAACCAGCTGAGCTAACCAGCCAGCCTCTTAGCTCTTTCACTTTCTAATTGAATGATTTTAGGTAAGTCAGTGGGTTTTTCTTAGATTGTATCAGTGTCATTAGCAAGCTGTAGTATATTTTCTGAAAGACTGTCTGTGACTGTTTAAAGAAATTTGGGGAACTTATTTAAAATATAGATGCCAGGGCCCTACTCAAGTAGGTTCTGCTCAAATAAGCCAGGGGCTGGATCAGTGAATCTGAATTTTTGAAAAGTTCCCCACATGATTCTGCTAAATGCCAGGTTTGGAAGCTGCTTTTGCAGATGATCTTTAAGGTACCTTTTAGCTCTAAAATTCTCTGGTCTTCCAAAGTTTCATTTTATGCTCAGCTACCTAGGGATCAAGAGCTAGACAGTGGGAAGTACTATGTAAATGTTCATTTATCAGCTCTCTTTGGGGGAGGAGTCAAGCTGATGTTATGGTTTTTCTGATTTTTGGAGTTAAATATGCATCTTGCCCTGAGTCCTTATATAATACAATTCATTCATTCAGCAAATAATTTTGAGCTCCTATTCTGTGCTAGCTTCTTCCAATCGAGATGTTAGGAATAAAATGATGAATAAGACAGATGTGGTTTCTGCCTGTAGAGAGCTTATAATCCAGTGGTCCCCCACCAATACTCAAATGAACAAATATGTAATTAAAAACTTTAGTGATCAGATATTACATTATTAGGGATTATCAGGATTGGGCTTTAGGACACAGTATTGGTGGAGGAGGCTAAAAATTATTTTTGGGAGCCTGGTTTAGGTTGATGACTCCTGTATCTTTAGTCCGGTTTGTTGAGTCCGGTATTTATTTAGGTTTCATTTTCAGAGCTTAAAGCACTTTGTTTATTTGGGAGAAGATCCCATGATGCACTAGTAGAAGATTAGGAAATGAGAAGAGGAGGGAAAAGCCTGTGCTATTGAGCAGATAATTGCTGTGGATAACCAGGGCTCATTGCTGCTGAAGAACTCTGGGCAGTGCTGTAGTGCCACTCAACTTGGGGTCACAGACCATTGCCAATATGTGACTTGTTTGTTACAGGTCCATGATGAGATAAGTACATTGAGTGTAAGGGTTTAGAAACAAGCAATTTGACAAAATAATTTTATGTCCATTGACATAAAAGACTGTGTTATATTTTATATGTTCCTGTTTTCATTTCATTTTCTGAGTTATTAATTTTTATTGTATTTTACAAAAGTATTAGTCCATGAGAGACTGGAAATTAAAACAAAAACAGGTACTTCACCACAGATAGTACTGTTGTAGAACACAGCTCAGAGTTATCCACCCAAAGGGCTGGACTAACCAAAGAATTTTGCTTTTGGTTAATAATCAGGTAGTTGAGTTCAGATTGTTTTTTTGCCATCATTACCAGGCTGGAGGTGAGGATGGTGGATCAGGAGTTGCTGAGGGAGGAGGAACTCCTGTAATAAGTAGCTGAAAAGCATTTTAACAGATTTAACTGTCCTCTGGACAGCTTGTTGAGATTTAAGAACAAACACCTGGAGACCATTTCCCTTATCCAGAATTTATGACAAGGTGTTGTTCTTATTATCAGTGATACTATAATATAGTTTCTTGGGCTGGGTAATGCATTTACTCAAAGCGTTTCATGCATTCTTTTATTTCTGTGATAAACAAAGAAATCTGGGAATAATTATTTTATGAATATGCATTACCTAAAGTTCGTTAGTTCACATTTTATTTCTATATTCAGAAAATCTAATTCTTTACACATTCTACCCTTTTAAAAGGAATTTTGTAGTTTCCCTCGTGCAAACAACTTTTTATAGCTATACTCTGGGAAAAACTCTTTGCTTCTTGAAGAAGGAAAATTCTTCATGATTGAAAATTGGCAAAGATCTAGGACGGTGTTAATTTCAATTGCCTGTACTGCCCTTTTTCTCTCATTAGTACTAACATTCTGGGTTTATGTGTGTGTATGTTGTTTTGCTTATTTTTTAGGACAGTTTATTTTGTGTTGTAGCAACATTCGGCTGTTTCTACTACTGAACCTTTGAAAAGCTGGGGAAAGATATGACCATGAAGAAATCTGAACTTTTTTATTGTTAAATATCTTGACAAAAATAAAGATAAGTTAGCAGTTTGGCAACTGAACCTGTTGTGTTTTGGGTCTTATATTTCTAATGTTTTGATTTTGTTATAATATATTCTTATTACATCTGGAAAGTCAAGAAACAAGTAGGGGAAACTCCACTTCAATTATTCAGACATAACCAACTGTAAATATTTTGATATATTTTCTACCAGTGTTTTTGTATTTGCAAGGTTTAAAATCATATATATGATTTTGGACCAATTTTTTCACTTCTCATAGTATTATGAGCAATTTTTATGTCATTTTATTTGCATTATGATTTTTCAGAAGCATAATTTAATACTTGCATTTATTCCATGAGGTTATACCATTGTTATTTTTGCCATTTCCTTGTTGAGATACTGCTTATTTCTAATTTTTCACTGTTATAAAAATACAAAGATGAATTTATTTGTGCATAAAGCTTTTTTCATTTTGATTTTTTTTTTCTTTGGCCAGTTGGGGGATCCAGACCCTTGATCCCTTGGTCTTGGTGTTATAACACCGTACTCTCACCGGCCAGCCCCATTTTCCTACATTTTGAATAGTGGCCTTTATCTCTCTCACCCAGTGTTTTTGCGGAGCTATTGCCATCCTATGCCTTACATAGCTTATTAGTTTAAACACAGGTGCATTTTCCCCAGGGTTTGTCTACAGTGTGAGGGTCTGAGAGTTTCCAAGTTGTGTATGAAATCAGCCCTCCCTTAAGACTCAGATTCTCCTGTTAGTTACTATACAAATTCCTACTGTCTTTGTAGTGATGTTCCCCTTAGATGCCCTGGTGTCTTCTCTAGCTAGCTGTCCTTATTTGGGGCACCTTAGTCAATCAGCCATGTTCAAATACTATTTGAAACTCGAAAGGAAGGGGGTCGGATTCAAATCCTTTTTCTCCCTGGAGGTTCCTCAACAGATGCACAAGTTTACTGAACCTCTTTCTTCATAGCCACTTTCAAATCAAGCATGTAGACAAAAAAGAAAAGAAAAACCTTAGAATCTCTTTTACATCCTTCTTCCATAACATTGTGTATCTACTTTTCTTATATCTACTGAATCTACTGAATCAAAAAAGATCCCTCAAAGGTTCCTGCTAGCAAAGGATAACTTTTCTCCTCACCATACACCCTGCTTCATGTGTTTTCCTCCCAGTGGCCTCCTTATTGAGTCTACTATTGCTCAACCACCTCTCAGCTGATTCTTAGGGGTCTTTTTTTGACTAGCCAACCTGGGTCAGAAATAACAGGAAGAAAGAAGATAGGGTCAGCCGCAGGTTTTCACCGAACTTGGTGGGTGGAGGTAAATTCCCCTTACATCACTAAGCAGTAGGTAAAAGTTGGCGCTGCGGTGAAGCAATCGCGGAAGGAGGCGTAATAGCGGGAGGCGTCTGGGCCCTGTGCACTGCGAATGATCGGGTGCGAGTGTCTGGCGCTGGTGACACAGTGGGAAGAACCACCACGGACACGTCCGCCAGTGCGAGACCCAGCCCGGAGTGGGCCAAAGGGGAGCCGCTGGGTAACGCTTCTTGGACTGCCAGCGATCACTAGTGACAGCTCACATCCGTATTCCACTATAAGGGGGCGTCTTCACTGCATACTCCGGTTCCGGGTGGAGACTGACCCTTGACAGTCCATCTCCTGTCTCTGGTATTTCTGCTCAGTCACTTCATCCCCGGGGCCTCTGTGGAGGGGGAACTAGTGTGTCGGGAGTCCTGGTTTTCAGGGAGAAGTCGTGGTCGGATTGTCAAGAGGGCGGGCAGTAGGCGGGACTTCCGGCTCCCGGTTCCGTCAGCTGCTTTCCCCGGGCGTCTCCCCGCAACCTCTTCAACTTCCCTTGTCCGTGACTCGGCGCTGGGCAGAAATCCCACGGGATAGGAGCCAGGGGAGCGTGAGCTGCAGGTGAGGATCCAGTGTGTGCATATCCTTGCGGCTCTATTTGAGACGAGAAACTGTGGGGCTGTGACCACGAGGAGACTAAGTGGGTCGGTGACAGGGGAGTGTGAGGCAGGGGTGCGAAGCTACTGTGACCGAGGGACAGTGAAAGCGGGAGGACTGTGACCGAGGTGTCGCTGCTTGCGAGGGGTCTGTGATCCCGTAGCAGTGAATGCAAAGGAGTCTGACCTCGAAGAGCACGAGGCAGAGGCTGCGACGGTACTCTGACCGAGGAAGTATGAGGCAGTGACTGCAAGGGGACTGTGACCAAGGGGCAGTTACTCCAAGGAGACTCTGGTCGATGGATAGTGACTGTAAGGGGACTCTGACCTAAGCGAACATGAAGTAGCGGTTGTAAGGGGACTCTGACCAAGGAGCGGTGACTGTGAGGGGCTGATCTGGAGCAGTGTGGGATCAGTAATTGGGGGCGGTACTGTAGGGTTGTGTTTGGGCACGGGTGTGATTGTGACTAGAGAAGGTCTTTAGTGGAAAGAACACTGGTCTGGGACTTATTAGACAGACCTGAGTTTAAATTTATGAACAAACTTTTTGTGGCTGGGAAATTCACCTCACCACAGAGTTACAGTTTCTTCATTAGTGAATGGGAAGTTTGGACTAGATTAATCTTTCCCAAACTATGAGTTCCATTCTATTATTGGGTTGTGAAGTCAGTTTAGTGGATGGCACATGAAATTTTTTTTGAAAATGTAGTAGAATAGAAACTTTCAGTTTGTTCACATAGTGAGGGTAAATATTGTTTCATAAAATTTGTTTCGGTTATGTGTATATGAGATTATGATGTAGGATGGACTTTGTACATCTTAAAATGTATGAAGTAAAATGTAGTAAAAAAGTTTGAAAAACCTTCGACCAGATTATTTCTGAGTTTTCTTTCGGGTCTAAAATGTAATGATTCTATGATTAGGGGACTATTTGGAAGTACAAAGATGCAATTGGGAAGACTGGATCTATAGCTGGGGCACAGGCTCTATGAGATTAATTTAAATGGAGAAGTCTTCCTGAAAGTAATTGAGGTAACTGGTTATGACTGAGGGCTGAAACTAAGGATCTTAGTTGGGAGAACCAAAAGTTGTATTGAAATAGGGACAGTAATACTTATAGAAGCAGTGAAGATTTAGGGGTTTTTGGTATGGAAAAACAGGTAGGAGTAGACATTGAGGACGGGGGAGGTTTGAGGGTAGGAACAAAGCTTGGGAAAGGAACTGAAGATAGAGACAAAAAAACATTCTGTCCAGAATAAAATCTAAATAGGGAGATAAGACCTTTCGATCCTATTCAATCTTGATATTTAATGATGCTGCAAGTGTAGAAAATTGCTAGTAAGAAGATATTGAGAATGGGATTTGGTAAAATCTAAATAGGGAGATAAGACCTTTCGATCCTATTCAATCTTGATATTTAATGATGCTGTAAGTGTAGAAAATTGCTAGTAAGAAGATATTGAGAATGGGATTTGGTGCAGTAATAATGGTAAACAAATGATGACTATCATGGGGGAGAAAGGTGGACAAAAGGATGATGCTGGGAATGTCAACAGTGGTGACAAGAATGACACATGGGAGGCTTTAACGTATTTAGTTATCCAGGGATTTGTACACTGGAGGCCAAGATTGGCATTCTGGGAATGATGCTGTGTTGTGGATAATTCAAATGAAGTTTCCGTTGCTGGTTTTATTTCCTACTTATTCCCTTTCTTGAGGGCTGTTAGTGATGTAAATGAGATTACTAAAGAGAGTGTTACTACATTCTCCTCTCTTACAGCCCTTTGTAAAAGGTGCTACTGCTTGTGCCACCCAATGCTTTTTATTTTTATTTTTTATTTATTTTTATTTTTTTAAAAAGATGACCGGTAAGGGGATCTTAACCCTTGACTTGGTGTTGTCAGCACCACGCTCAGCCAGTGAGCGAACCGGCCATCCCTTATATGGGATCCAAACCCGGGGCCTTGGTGTTATCAACACCACACTCTCCCGAGTGAGCCACGGGCCGGCCCCACCCAATGCTTTTTAAAAAGATCTAATAGGAGAAGCTTGAGGTCATTTTACCTTATCAGACACTGTATTAGTCTGATAACCTAATAATCACCCCTGCCCCTACACTTTGTAATAGGGAAAGAGTTCAGAAAGCTTCTTAAATGGGAACGAGTTGGGAATAATGAGGGATAACCTTTGTTTAAAAAATGGGTAGTTACACCTTTTTTTAGTACGTTTGATGTTTACTTGCTTACATTCTACATAACTAAAAGGACCTACTCAAGAATTTGTATTTAGAACAGAATATATGCTTCAAGGTAACAGACCTGGTAGAAGAGACACTTAGGCTTGGGGACTGCAGTACTCCCTCTGGGGTCCTTTGTGTTTGCTGAATGAAATGATTCTTTTTGACCTCGCCTGCTCGGCAAATTCCCTTTAAAAACCACTATGATGGCCTGATTGATAAAGAATGAGCTTTATTTCCCCTCAGACTATGATTTCTCCTCCCATAAACATGTAGGGTTTTATTTTTCTTGGAGACCTTCTCTTTGGATGTATGATCCTTTGAAGAGAATGATCTTCAGATAGAGCCTTGGATTCACAAGTCCCAGGTTACTTTATCTAATGTTAACATTGACTCACTCTGTGACTATGGGAAGCATTATTGCTTTCTCTTGTTTTAGATTTTCTAACCGAGGCAGAGTAACTATTCTTATGATTAAAGAGCCCTTTAATAATCTGAAATATATGCATACTTATGAAATTTTGTATACAATCTCATGGAATTTGTAAACTATCTGATCCCATTCGTGATGCCCATATGGAGCTATCTAACTTTCTGAATAACCTTTCCTAGACATGTAATAGGCACTAATGAGAATTAGCTTATGAAATGCTCACAGAAAAGGTAAGCAATAATAATTATTATTGTTATTAATGATGGATAATGATACAATACCTATTTACTATTATTAATAGTAATTTTCTTACTCAGGCATCATGCTTTTCTTTCTGAGTACTTGCATAACTCTGATCTCAAGCCAGATCTTCTGACTTTTCTATTAATAGAAATAATTCCCCTTTCTGAATCAAACAGAAATAGGTCTCTCTTATACCAACATTTCCATTACCTTGAAATAGATTGGAAAGTATACATTTTCTAGAAGTCATTATCTGTTTTTGGATTTTTTCCTGTTCAAAAAACCCTAAAGTCAGGGTACCTGTCAGTCAGCACTGGACTGTGAAGTTTCCTTTTTATGTTCAAGATTGTGGCTGGCTGCTTCTACATCTTTTACTTTACCACCACATCAGTCATGTTAGAAAAACAGGAGATGGGCCGGCCTGGTGGCGCACTGCTACAGTGTGCCGCTTGGGAGTGCGGCGGCGCTCCCGCCGACGGTTCGGATCCCACATACAGACCGGTTCCGCTCACTGGCTGGGCCGAGGTGCGGCCGCAACACCAAGGGTTGCGATCCCGTTGCCGGTCCTAGTCCGGTACGGGCGCGACACTGAAGGTTGCGATCCGTTGCCGGACACAAAAAAAGACAAAAAGGAAAAAAAAAAAAAGAAAAACAGGAGAGAGTGAGGAGATCAGGACTCGGCGTTGTCAACCCTCCTGCTTATCTGCTTGGTGACAGGCACCTCTTCTTTCCTAAGACCTTTGATCTCTTTCCTAAGCTTATACCTTTCTGTTTCTTGTCCTAAACTTCTTTCACAGTATTTCTGTCAAATGGGTACCTGGACACGTGTTTCAAGTGTGACTTTTTTTACTAATTGCTTTATGAATGATTTGTGGCAAAATTTAAATACTAACTCCCTTCTTCTACAATTCAGTTATTAAATTCAGAGAAGGTGCATTTTTACATACTTTGTTTTGCAGTATATGTCAGAGCTGCCCTCCAGAAGAAAAAAGAAAGTGAGTTTCTAATATACTTGTATATTAGGTTCATTTACATACATTACCTCATTAACATAAATGATTGAATTACCTGTACAAGGTATTTTACTGTTTGCAAACCAGATTAGTACAAATATATAGCAGTTTTTTGTTTTTTTTAAAATATATTTCCCCCCTTTCTTTTGGTAACTCTCTTGTAATCACAAGTTGAAAGTTATATTAGTTTGAGGCTTTCTATGTTTGGACTAGGATGACTGCCAAAGGGTCAGGGGAATCCATGGATCTGCTAGGTTATTATATCACATTTGCAACTATTTGCAAACCAGGTTTGAAATGAGGGCTGCTAAAAATAGTGACATATGGTCTTTGCTTCATACTAGAGAACAAAATGAGTGTATGACCCTTAACAGAAAATAGAGGTAGTTTTTTTTTAATCTACAGAGAATTACCTTAGATGTGATTATGTTTGCTTAGTTTTTGGCCCTAGAACAGGGGTCTTAATCTTTTTTGTGTTATGGATCCCTTTGGCAGTATGGTGAAACCTTGGGTTCCCTTTTTGGAATAATGTTTTTATATGCAAAAAATAAAATACATAGAACTATAAAGAAAACCAATTATGTTGCAGTACCATTATCAAAATATTTTTTTATCAGATCTCCTTACCTGCCAGCCAAACGCACGCGCGCGCATACACACACACACACACACACATACACACAGAGTATGTGATATAGCACTATATGTGCTTTTTGTTAACATAGTAAATAATGTATACTATCAGTGGGTCTTATAACTATAATAATTTTAAATTTAAACAATATTTCAAGATATCTGTAGCAAGTATAATATGGTATGAAAATATCCGATTTCTACTGGCAAAAAAGTCTATTTGTCTACTAAGTCTACTATTACTTTTGTGTCTTATGTTCATAATTGAAGAAAATGTGAGTTTGTCAGAGGTTAGTGAAAAAAAGATATAACATTTTTATAGTCCACATTCACAAACTCCCTGAATTCTATCATAGACCCTGCCTTAGAGATTTTATAAGTTCCATAACCCACTCTAAAAGAGCACA